CCGGTGAGGATTGACATTAGCATTTTCAGCGGCATACTCCTTCTTTCTGGTCTTAGTCACCTGATTTCGAGTTCGAGCTCAGCTCAACCATCACGGTAGAAACTTACCGAAGCAGCAAGCCTTGTGGCTCGTCGCGCGGTCAGGTACTTAAGAGCAACAACGGAGTCTGCAGGTAACTAGTCTGTATATTTACTTGAACAGATAGTCGCATCATGCGTATGAGGTACAACCTGTTGACATGTTTATCGTATTCATCAATGCTTCAACGCTCGCAGCGGGGTTGAAGCCCACGGCCTCTGCAGCTGCGGAGGTCATGCAACCTAAGCAATAAGAAGCCGTATTCAGAGCAGCCCTACACAACATTCAATCAGGTGTGATTTATAAAAAACGAGACTGAGTACCCAGGCTCAGCGTGGTACAAGTACCGTGTCCTCTAACTCACCCGATGATAATTGGCACCACACTGGAAATGGTGGCTCGTAGATCTTGATGCTTACTGTCAGTTCTGGCCTCGGCGACTATCAGTACTATCTGCGAGAGACAAATTGGGTACGGTCTCATACCTGAGGTTGAAAAGCAAGCGTAGTGGCGAGTAATCGGTTTCTATCATGGTTGGCCGTGTCCAATGCAGGAGAAACAATAGAAGGCGGATACAGGGGGCGAACACGAAAATCCTAACCCGAGGACCTCTCCTTTATTTGTAGTGCTTTGCCAAAATCAAGTACGGTGACTATTGCTGTACGCTGCACAAGCATAGCCCACACGGCAGCGACAGCCGCGTGCAACTGCTAATTTGCTGCCGTTCAACAAATGCACTCCCGCAGGCTTACCAGCGGAGACCAGTATTTTGGTGGCGTCGGCTAGTTCGACTCTTGTCCAATGAGGCTGTCCGCGGCCCCGCAGCATCAACTCTAAATCATTGCATCCGTTCATCTGCGCCGGCTAGCGGCAGCAAAACGCGGATGATGAGAAAAGCAGCCCCACAGCATTGAATTCTAGACCATTGCATCGGTTGCAAATGACAAGACGTTCATCATTCGTCCATTTTGGACGTTCAACCGAGTCGAACATGTTCAATAGTCAATTCAATCGTTTGCAGCCAGTTGACGCCACTGGGGGGATTTTATCTTCTGCCCTTGCTTAGACACTTGGACAATTCAAATCGTCGTCACGCTGTGCGAGGCGGCCCCCTATCCCGGCACGTAGTTGATTTCTCGGCAAGCCAGGAATAGAATCTTGACCTGCTGAACCACATTCCAGGATCCCAGGCGCGGACCGTTGGCTGGTCGTGAACTTGCAGCCTGACTCTGTCGAGACCTCACTCGTATCGTGGCCCGCCATAGGCATATTACCTGTATAGTCATTAGTGCATTCGACGCGACTGAGATGCACAGAAACGCCGATCTGTCGCGCCTCACCATTCAGGCTTTGGTTACGATACTCTACTTTTAGAGACTCCACAGGTCTTACTAGCCTAGTCTCGAACCCAGGCAATGACTCCATTCGATACCTGACATTCGCGTACCAGGTTCCTAGCTTACATAAACTCTATCATCCTAGAGGCTCTCTTTGACCTCAACCACTGATCCAACGGGCAACGTTGTAGGTAACCCTACCACCTCCGACTTTCTGTCCAGCCAAAGTATTGTCGGGATAGCACTCGCAAACGTGATAGATGCCAACAACAGGACCGTTGCCGTCCAGCCAAAACGCCGGTACATCAAACCAGCCCCGAGTGGCCCAGCGACAAATCCAAGTGCGAACATCACATTCGTAAGCCCGTAGACTTGAGCAATAGCGCCACCGGGGGTGAAGTAATGCGGTTGGTTCTCAGTCTTGGTTTGTGCTGCTGTCACAGCATCAACCCATGCTGCGATCTCGAAGAAAACCATGGAGCAGCCGCACAGGATAAGAAAGATGACGAATAAGGTTTTGTGAGCATCGGTGTCTCTGCTGACCAGGGCTAGGCAGCCTAGTGTCACTGCAGATCCAAGATATCCCCATACAGCGCTTACTCGGGCGCCTAATCGTGGGACCAGCTTTCCTATCATTGGCGAAATCATTGACGGGCCCATTAATGCCACAAACGAACCACCAGCCTGCATTGAACTCCAGCCATAGGTATGGAGCACAAACAGTGGCAGCACCGAGTCCAAGGCTCCACAAATGAATGCGGACTGAAAGGATCCCCAGATGGCTGCCCACATACGGCGGCTGGTGAGAAGGTAGAGAGTCTGAGAAGCTCGTGCTTGGC